ATATTTAAGTTCATCGAATTTCATGTTAATGGCCCTTCTGTTAGGATGCATTCGTTTAATATACCCATAGTGTGAAAGGTATCATATAGTCGGCTCCGTCCGACTTTACTACTTTCCTTACTGGTTTTTATATGAGTTGGTGTCAACACGTATCAGAACATGCTTCAGTTTTTCAAAACGCCGCCGTCAGCGCCATGTATTGATGGGCATGGTTAAAATCGTGCATATTAGGTTTCCAAGCCCAAATTTTAAATCGTATAACTTCCCTATAAAACCGGTGTTGTATGAAAGCGTAAAGAGATCATTATAAAACATATGTAAACGAGGAAAATTAAGAAATACTTCAATACTAATTTTTATATTCAATAATTATAAAATGCAAGTTATTGGTAATTTCAAAAGAAAGTATACGATTATGCCATTCATATGACACCACCTTGCATATCGTAAAATCTTTACCGTCCTTAGATAATGTCCGAATATTATGTGTACTCCTTTTGGTACCTACCCAAAGCAGCACCCCTCCCGCCATTATTCCCCTTTAAGCTCCTAATCGAACCTCTATGAGTAAATAATTCTAAACCGTATATATTTTTCAGTTTGGATTTTTATATAGCTCTCATATATGGATATGACAATTGGACAATGCCCAGTACTTACCCAGTCTATACCGAATACAAATAAAACACAAAACAACAATTTGTTTTTAATACATAGAATTATTTTCTCCGTTATCTTTTTATTTCACATCATATTTCCGTTTGATAATATTATTTATTTATTTTTTATTTTGTTTTAAATTTTTAGTATGTATTTTATTTTATTATTACAATACATTTTTTTTATTTAAAATCATTTTTCCTCTCATGGTATTATGGCTAAGACTACGGAAATTCTTCAAATAGCATTTATATGAGACGATATTCGGAAAAATTCCATTTATCCATTATCATTCCAAAAATGTTAAATGCTTACATGTTTAAAATATTATGTGAATATTTTTTAGAGTTTATTATTACTATTTGGTATTTTTTATTTGGTTTTGTGTTTAAAGTAAATGACTATTATTTTAATATTGACTAGATTTTCTTCTGATGTGTGTTATTTTTTTTAATTTTTGTTATAAACGTAATTATGTTGTTGTTTATTTTAAAATTCGTTTTTTTGTTTTATATACAAATTAAAATATTAAAATTAGTGTTTGGGGTTTTTTGTTTCATTCTGTCATCCATTTCTTTTTCTTTGGCTACATTTAAATGACATTGAGTTTTTATTTATTGTTTTTTTAATTTTTTTTTTCTGGTATATATATTTTTACTATTTTTTGCCGTACATTAAATTTATTTAACAAAAATTATTAATTGCACATTCATTACAAAATCGGACAAAAATATTGCATTATTGCTATTTACAATTTAATTACAGAAATCGTATTGAGATTACAGGGAAAACTTATATGGGTCATATAATTGATTTTACAAATAGGCGCCCTCGGATGGGACAATGAGGACCCGATTAAAGATGTTTTTGTTATTATTTTCAGGAGGGAAGTCAGACACAAAGGGCCTACCAAAGCATTTAAAACCTTTTTCAAATAGTGTAATATAATTTACAGGGAAATACAGAGAGTGCCATATCAATACATAGACCCATAGCTTAGGGTGCTTTTCACCCTACTCTGTTAAAAGCAGATACTTTCAATTCTCAAATCGTTTTAAGGGGTTTAGTTCCTTTCCCCTTATATTTATTTGCAACTGTTTCCAATACCCTTCAGTTTTTTATACCCTCCACCATAGTATGGAGGGTATATTAATTTTGTCATTCCGTTTGTAACTCATCGAAATATGCATTTCCGACCCTATAAAGTATATATATTCTTGATTAGGGTAAAATTCTAAGACGATCTAGCCATGTCCGCCCGTCTGTTGTAATCACGCTATCTTCTGAAGGAATTGAGATAGGGTGCTGCAGGCAGGTCAAGTTCGAAGATGGGATATATCGGTCCACGTCTAGGCATATCTCCCATATAAGGGTACCCGCCAAATTTCGGTATTTTGGGGTTCTTGAGCGCGTTTTTCAGCCGAATTCAATACATTGGGTTCTTATTGGATACTAAATGTCTCCACAAAAAATTATAAGTATAGGTCCATATTTTCTGGTAGCCCCCATATAACGATACTTCCTAATTTTCATTATTTTGGGGGTTTTGGTCGTATTTTGCCGCCGAATTAGCTATAATTTAGTATTTTGAGCTCTTAATAGGTACCAAATCTCTCCAAAAAAATTATGAATATATGTCCATTTTTTCCGAACGCACCCATATATGGATACCACCAGTTTTCAGTATTTTGGGGTTCTTGAGCGCAGTTTTGAACCGAATTTGCTGCAATTTGGTATTTTGTAGTCGTATATGGTAACAAATCTCTCTACCAAAAATTATTAATATTCGCCCCCTTTTTGGGGTAGTCCCCATATAACCCCCTTTTTAAACCCTTCACCACACTGTGGTACAGGGTATTATGTCATTGTGCATATGTTTGTAACAGGCAAAACGAAACGCGATAGACACATGGTTCCTTTTGAGAATATGCATAGAATCACTTTTTAAGTCGATTTATGCATGTCCGTCCGTCTGTCTGTCTGTGCATGTTAAATTGTAAACAAAGTACAGGTCGCATTTATGATCCGAATTGGATGAAATTTTGTATATTTCACTTATTCGGCCCAAGGACGAACCCTATTGAAATTGGGAAAAATCAGTTCAGATTTGGATATAGCTCCCATATATATTTAAGCGATTTGATGTAAACGGTCCCTATATATCTTTCGATTTGCACGAAATTTGGTACAGCCTAATCAGTTAGGTCTAGAATTATGTCTGCCAAGTTTCGTGAAAATCGCTTCAGATTTAGATATAGCTCCCATATATAGTTTCGTCCGATTTCATCTAAATGGTGCACCAATGTCCCTATATATCCTTCGATTTGCACGAAATTTGGCATAACGTACTAAATTGAGCCTAGAGTGATGTCTGCCAAGTTTTGAGAAAATCTGTTCAGATTTAGATATACCTCCCATATATAGTTTCGTCCGATTTCATGTAAATTATGCCCCAAAGTCCCAATATATCTTTCGATTTGCACGAAATTCGGCATAACGTACTGAATTAAGCCTAGAGTGATGTCTGCCAAGTTTCGAGAAAATCGGTCCAGTTGTAGATATAGCTCCCATATATAGTTTCGTCCGATTTTATGTAAATGGCGCACCAAAGTCGCTATATATCTTTCGATTTGCACGAAATTTGGCATAACGTACTGAGTTGAGCGTAGAGTGATGTCTGCCTTGTTTCGTGAAAATCGGTCAAGATTTAGATATAGCTCCCATATATAGTTTCGTCCGATTTCATATAAATGGTGCACCAAAGTGCTTATATATCCTTCGATTTGCACCAAATTTGGCATAACGTACTGAAATGAGCCTAGAGAGATGTCTGCCAAGTTTCGAGAAAATCGGTTCAGATTTTTATATAGCTCCCATATATAGTTTCGTCCGATTTCATGTAAATGGTGCTCCAAAATCGCTATATATCTTTCGATTTGCACGAAATTTGGCATAACGTACTGAATTGAGCCTAGAGTGATGTCTGTCTTGTTCCGTGAAAATCGATTCAGATTTAGATATAGTTCCCTTATATTATAGATTGATTTTAAGTAATTGACGCACCAAGGAACCAATAGGATGATAGGAACAAAACGTTCTGAAATTACTATAACCTAACCTGTGACATGTTTGTTTGAAATCGCTTAATATTTGGATATAGCTTCCATATATTTTTCGCCCGATTTCAAGTAAATTGGGCATCAAACTCCTCATGTTAGTCAGATTGACATCAAATTTTGCACAACTTACAAAATTGAGTATATAATTACGTAGCTGCGTTTTCTAGATGTACAGACATGGCCCAACGGATGACCTATTTATATTTGTTTGAAGTCGATTTACATACTTTATGGATAGATCTAGGTAGATTCACATTTATATAAATATCACATATTTTATTTCATTCACTTTCATGTTAATTGTCCTGTATAATATACCCATAGTGGTGAAGGGTATCATATAGTCGGCCCCGTCCGACTTTACTACTTTCCTTACTGGTTTATATTAAAATAGTTATCTGATTTGTTCCGCGTTTTTAATTTGGTTCTAAGACTCTATTGTAATCATTTCACCTGCGGATGATAGCGAGATACAAAATTAGAACGTAAGGTTCGATAATCAACTATAGCCGCCTTTAGACCTAGCCCCTATGTGGAGTTTTCAGAATGAGTGGACCGATATTCCTCATCTTCGAATTTGAATTATCAATTAAAAAATTCTGAAATTTGTATTATGGTTTACATTATGGTTTACATTATCCGTTTTTAGACATGTCGGTATAGGTCCACTTTTTGGTACGTTCCCTATATATTCATTTCTAGTACCTGTCAGTATATCTATGGTGGAGGGTATCCAAAGTTCGGCCCGGCCGAACTTAACGCTTTCTCACTTGTTCAATATTAACTATTATCAGCAATTCAATAATATTATCTAGAAAAATAAAAAAAGGAATAATATAGAAATCTATATTTTTTGTGGTAGGAACTTAGATGCGCTCTATAAGTGAATTTGCCATTTTGTTGCTCGACTGATTATTTAGGAATTTAAAAACACTCAAATAACAATAATTTCTTGTCTTACGATAATATTACCAATAACTTTATAAAAAATGGGAATTATAATACAAAATAATGTTAACTAAAATTTTACAAGGATCATCTATCTGTTCATAGCTTATTTAAACAAAAAAAAAAAAAATATTTTACATATTTACACACACTCACGGCTACTCTCAACCATCCACCATCAACACCACCACACATTTCACAAAATATCGAACTCCTCCTCCTCCCCTATTGCCAGTGCTTGCTCTCTGTTGCCACACCTGTTGCCGCCTGATCCTCCACCGGATTCTCGTAACACTATAGCACAGCCGAGCCGCACCAAAGCACCTGACCTCAATATGGCCGCCAAACACTACCGTTATCACCAGGATTATGATGACCACGATGGGCAGCCAATGCTGTCAACTGGCGATTAGTATTGCCATCTTCGATGTTTCGCACCGAGGCGCCACAATTGCCAATCAAAGTCAAATCACCGGGATGTGTTACGCCACCGCCGGACATAATATTATGCTGCTGTCGCACACCCACATTGCTAATGTGATCCATGACACTTTGCAACTCGCCATGAACGGTGGAGTTGGGCGATGTGTGTGAGGGTAAGGAATGCGAATGGAAACCATGTGATTGATTTGCAGCGGTATATAATTGAGAATACAGGAGACTGGCTGGCAGAACGGGATAGAGAGAACCATTACAACCAGCACCGGCAGTACCACCATGCCCACCTCCCACACCCACACCCGATCCGGCTGAACCACCATAACCAGCCGGATTTTGACTTTGATTAACCAAATTGGTAAAATTGGGATTTGAACCGACCAATGAGTTATTGGCCGAGCCATTGGAATTGCTGTTTGCACCACCATTGGCGGTGGCATTACCATTTGCTCCACCCAAGTTGGGTGTATTCGTGGAGAGTAGATCTTCCTGTACCGGTGATTCGGCTTGCGATGAGTCGCTGAGACTACGTGGCCCATTTTGACTGGAGTGTACATTGTAATCGTTGTTTGTGTTATGATAACGTGGTACCAAAATGGAGTTGGCACCCGCTCCAGCTGCTCCATTTACCGTAGATGAGATGGCTGTTTGTCCCGTTGATCCCAGGAGACTGTGATGGGTCATTTGCCCCGTGGTCGAACCCACCAAACTGCTGAGATGTTGATCCAAATCGGATGCTGTTGAATCGGGGAGCACTGAAAATATAAAAAAAAATTAAATTATTTTGGTTCAGGGCGAAAAAATCCGAATCGAATCACAGGGGATTCTGACTTAACAGAGCTAAATCAATTATTTGGGTTGAAGGGCCCACACATTTTTTTCTTAAATTGTAATTTTTATTTTTTACCTATTAGAAGTATCTAAATAAATAATTTTAGTTCAGTTCAATACAATTCCAAATCGAATCACAGGGGATTCTGACTTAACAGAGCTAAAACAAGTATTTGGGTCAAGGGACCAGATGTTTTTGTTTTCAAATATTATTACTTACTGGGCACACAATCCCTATTAGAAGCACCGCTAAAATCTTGATTATTTGCCTGCTCATTCGATGAACACGAGAAACCCAATGCTGGATTATTGAACTGCGCCGATGTTGGTGTAGTGCACGATGACAATCCGCTACTGGCCAAATATGGTGAATATGCCGTGGCCGATCCATAGCCCCAATGTGTATTACTGGCACCTGAAAAATAAAAAAAATAAATTATCATAAATATAAAATAACCTTGAAACCCGATTTTGAAAAATGTAAAAATATTAACGAAAAATATATTAAGAAACCAGTAAGGAAAGTAATAAAGTCGGACGGGGCCGACTATATGATACCCTTCACCACTTTGGGTATATTCAACAGATGAATCCTAACAGACGTCGCATTTTTAAAGGTCCAGTAAAATTAAATTGGATCCATAAACATGTCATTCTGTAACCGATATTAATTTTTTCATTTCATAAATCGGACGAAAATGTATATGGGAGCTATATCGAAATATGAACCGATTTTCCCGAAACTTAACACACATCATTCTAGACCTAATTCAGTACGTTGTGCCAAATTTCGTGCAAATCGAGAGATATATAGGGACTTTGGTGAACCATTTACATTAAATCGGAAGAAAATATATATGGGAGCTATATTTAAATCTAAACCGATTTTCACGAAACTTAGCACACATCATTCTGGACCTAATTCAGTACTCCATGCCAAATTTCGTACAAATCGAGAGATATATAGGGACTTTGGTGCACCATTTACCTTAAATCGGACGAAAATATATATGGGAGCTATATCAAAATCTGAACCGATTTTCAGGAAATTTAACACATAGCATTCTATATCTAATTTAGTACACTATGCCAAATTTCGTGAAAATCGAAAGATAAAGAGGGACTTTGGTACATCATATACATATTCGACGGACCCAGAAAAAAAAAAAAAAATTTAGCGGTTGGCAATGTTAATCATTTAATTTGTTCCAAATAGATTTGTTTACATCAATTTTTGAATATATCTCTCAAATGGCCGCCTCTGGCGTTGATGACGTATTGTGCCCTTTTTGTTGCATTTTCCATAGTTTTTGCCAACATTTCGGCCGGAATAGCGGCTATTTCTTCACGAATGTTGTCCTTGAGCTCTTCTACGGTTCTTGACTTCAAATATCCCCACAAGAAGAAGTCAGGCGGCGTCAAATCGGGCGAACGCGGTGGCCAGTCCAAATCACCACTTTTCGACATCAAACGGCCCGGAAACAAATCGATTGTTATGCGACTTGTGTGCGGTGGAGCGCCGTCTTGTTGAAACCAGAACTGCCTCATACGCTTTCGACGAATAATTGGCATCACAAAATTGGTCATCATGTCGCGATAACGCTCCTGATTGATGGTAACAGCATGGCCATTTTCATTTTGGAAGAAAAACGGCCCAATGACCGTTTTCGCACTAACGCCGCACCAAACTGTGACATTTTCATCATGAAGAGGCACTTCTTGAATCTCCTGAGGATTTTCAGTGGCGTAAAAACGGCAATTTTGCTTATTTACGGTCCCATTCAATGTGAAATGGGCCTCATCGGACATGATAATTTTGTTCCAAAATTGCTCGTCATCTTCGGTCATTTCGATGACTCTTTGGGCCCATTCCAATCGACGAGGCTTGTCCGCAGGCATTTTTGGGATGTTCTTGGGGACCTCTCAACACTGGCTCGTACGGCAGCGATATTCTTGGCCGATCGCCTTGGTCGACTTTTATATGACCTCTTCGGATTACAAAGAGCTTAATGGTGTTCTTAGAAGGCGCACTTCTCACATTTTTAACATTTGTTCACATTTGCTTTAAAAGCTATTTCAACTATTTCAGAGCACTCGTGTGGCGTGTATTGGTTCATGGTAAAAATCTGCTTGGACTGACGCTTCAAACGCGGTATGTCATTAAGCGATGTTACATCTCTGTCAAAAGTTATAGCGTTGCCAGATGGTCCGTCGAATATGGGCAACCCTGTACATTAAATCGGACGAAAATATATATATGGGAGCTATATGTAAATCTGAACCGATTTTCACCAATTTCGATGGGTTTGGTCCTTGGGTCAAATAAATGAGTTGAGCCAAATTTCATCCAAATCGGATTATAAATGCGACATGCACAAATCGATTTAGAAAGTGATTCTATACATATTCTCAAAAGGAAAGGAACAAAAGGGTCCATCTCGATTTACGCCTTAGCTCACCTTAAAAAATATTTAAAAAAAAAACACCTCCACCTATTTAAAAACTCTTTCAACAATTATCCCCGATCCCAAATCCAAAAATCTGCAGTATATATTTTTGCATAATATTTTATTAGGCAAGCCAAGAGCTGCATGGTAAACTTTTAAATAAACAAATGATTTTTACGCTGTTTAAACAGCAAATCTAGCAACTAGGAAATTCTTTCCCCCACCCAGATTCCTACGAACAAATATGAACGGTGCCGGTCCCCATGAACAACAGACCAATTAGTTGTCGAACCAAATGCGATGTTTTTCTACAACATTTTGCAAAAAGGATAAAATTTGCCTAGAACACAATGCAGTCATCATAGTCATGGGCCAGAACAACATTTAAGCCATGTTTATTTTGCACAGATCACCAACAAAAATGCGTAGGAAAACAAATTTATTTTTTTCTGTTTGCTGGCCATACTTTGTAATGTTGATGATAATGGTAAGCTGTTTTGGGCAATGATTTTGTTTGCGACGAAGAAAGGGCAGCAGCCATAAGGCCTCTGTTGTTGTTATTGTTTTGTGTGTGTATGTGCGTGTGTTAGTGTTTGTCATGGTCCTTTCTGCATCCAATCAGTAGCCAAAAACCCGCATAATGGTTGTCATTCATTTACACTAAAATTACACAAAAATACAAATAAGCAGCCAAATGCACACACACACATGCATACACATGTATGTACGTAAGTACATACATACATCCATGCATTTACCATGTCCACCATATTGGCATAATTAGCAGCCCACATTTATTTTATTGACGACCAACGAACGGTCGGTCCAACATTATAAATACAACAATCAAAACACATACACGCACACACCAACACATATACATGCTAGGTATTTGTAAGTGTTTGTTATGGTTTCTATATTAGACGGGTTAGGGGTCACCGTCATTCATTTTAACGTTTCTAACTTTGTTATTGACTTTATGCAAATAATTCGTTCGCATAGGCCACCCCGACCTCCACCTCCTGCACATCGTCAAAATTTATTGGTAATTTGGTGGCGGTGTTGTTGTTGCAAAATATGCATTTAATAAATTAGATGGCGGCACGTTCATATAATTTTATTTTTATATGTTTATGATGCTAGCGTTACGAAGTTATTCATCCATTATGCGGACCATACTTATTATGTCGGTTGCTAACGATGGATGAATGGGTGGCTATTTTATTCAGGTTTAAAGTTTATAATTTTTGTAATTATTTTGAATTAGCAGAAATATGGAATATTGAATTTATGCAGACAAATTTTCAAATGATTTCCAATTCAAAGTGCTGAAAAGGCATCACAATAAATCTTGCTGTGTGAGCTGGGAGGGATATATGGATCGTTGTTCGATCGAAAGGGTGACATAGTTTTTGATACAAGTTTCTTTCTAAAATCACAAAATCTCAATTCTACAAACTTTCATAGAAATTAATAGCGATTTTATATTTCTATTCACGAAAAAGTGCAGGTATGTCACTTCGATTCGAATGTATTTCTTTGTAAGCAACTTTGTAACTTCTTGTGATTGCCAATCTTAAAGAAAAATCGTGGATTACAAAAAGTTATATCATTCTTGTGATTGCTCTAGAAAATTCAGAACCTCTGATAAAATTATGCTGAATTTACCTGTAGGGTTCTGTTATGGTAGCTACCCCTTAAAATTCAATTTAATGGGGGTAACGTGATTTGCGTAAAACTTTACATAACTATTTTCGAGTGCTTTAATGACATTGCTTTTAGATCCACACATTTCGTAGCCTCTACATTATAATTTTTAATCGAAGTACAGGTTGTGTTATGAACCAGCCTCTCGAAATCACTTGTAATACCACTAAGTTAACGATGTCGCGTGGCCCTGATGATACACGTCATTGGACGTTTCACATTACTTTTGTCCTCTACCAACGGAAGGGCAAATATTGATCACAAATATCGGACCAAGCCATTCGGCCAAATTTTGATTTGACATAACCAAGGTAAAAGACAAAAGGATGTAGAATAGGATGACAAACTCTAAAAACTACAAATTGAGACCAAATGTCACGTTGGTTATTCCGGAGCCTCCGGTTATTCAAAAGGCCAATTCTGTCCATGAAAAAATTATTGACAAAAATAAGGTCTGTAGTTGTCCTTGAAAAAAAACATGGCCTAAAGCTGTCCTCAAAAAATCCTTGAAAAATATTATGAACCAGTAAGGAAAGTAGTAAAGTCGGACGGGGCAGACTATATTATACCCTTCATCACTATGGGTATATTAACTGAAGGGTCATTAACATGAAATTAGATGAACTAAAATATGTGACCTAATTTTGTGTCAATCGGCTTCACTTTGAGTCTTTGGTTCACCATTTATTTAAAATCGGAAGAAAATATATATGGGAGCTATATTTAAATCTTACGTTGTGCAAAATTGTGTGGCAATCGGCCTAACATTGGTTTATAAAATCGGAAACTTTACACACATCATTCTAGACTCAATTCAGTATGCTATGCCAAATTTCGTGAAAATCGGACGATTTAAAGGGACTTTGGTGCACCATTTACTTTAAATCGGACGAAAATATGTATGGGAGCTATATCTAAATATCGACCGATTTTCAAGAAACTTTGCACACATCATTCTAGACTCAATTCAGTACCCTATTCCAAAATGCGTGCAAATCGAATGATATATAGGGAAATTGGCGCACTATTTACATAAAATCGAACGAAAATATATACGGGAGCTATATCTAAATCTGAACCGATTTTCACGAAACTTTGCACACATCATTCTAGATTCAATTGAGTACGTTATGCCGAATTTCGTGCAAATCAGAAGATTTATAGGTACTTTGGTACACATTTACATTAAATCGGCCGAAAATATATAGAAGAGCTATATCTCAATCTGAACCGATTTTCACGAAATTTAACACACATCATT